TTACAATTATTGCTTATGGGTGCAATATACCTTGCTTTTATACTTGGGTTTGGCGTTTTTGGAGGGTTTTAAGAACTTGAGAAAGATGGATTTGAAGTTCTTTCTTTTGGCCTTGGAGAGATTTCTAGTTTGAACACAGGAAACAGGTGAGGGTTTGTTTCAGCTTTAAGCTTAAAATCAAAATGAAATTCTTTGGGAAAGATGAATGTCTTAAATGTAACCAAAATGGGGACAGGACAATATATGTAATAAACTAACAATAACCTAGATGCCTGGGTTTGCTGGGTTTGTCATGAACCCAGGAGCTCGCTTCGTCGCACCTGGCTCCAGCCATCCATTTATTATTAATATATGAGTATTAATATATGACGAACCCCACGTCTGGGTTCGCAACGAACCTAGCGAACACAAGCAACTAGGTTCGCCTTTCCAGATCTTATTTTCAGAAGGCAAAGGTAAAAAAAAAAAAAAAAAAAAAAAAAAAAAAGAGCGAAGGCTGGATGAAGGAAAGGTTATAGATGCAGGAAGAAGATGGGCTAAATTAGTAATTAAAGTCAAATACTCTTCATCACAAAATAACCTTTAAAATATAGCCATGTCATCAATTTTGTTAGATAGACTTTCCACGTAATTGAAGTAAAGGAAAAAAATAAGTTTTTCCGTTAATTAACTCGCCATGTCAACCAAAAATTAACGGAGGGACTAAAAAGGGGTCGGATTTTAAAATTTAGGGACTAAAAAGGGGATTTTTTCGGTGCAGGGATCAAAAAGGGGCTTTTTCCTATAGTAGAGGGACCAAAAAGGGTATTTAACCAAAAACAAATTGCTCTTTCTTGGAAGTTGATGAGGAAAAGATCAAAGCAATTCATGATTGGCCTACACCTAAGACTATCGGGGAGGTGTGGAGTTTTCATGGACTCACCATATTCTACGAGTAGTTCATTACAAACTTTAGTACTATTATGGTTCTAATTATAGAGTGCTTGAAGAAGGGAGGTTCAATTGGAGAGACAATATGGAGGTCTGTATTGCCTTGATAAAAGAAAAACTATAAAGCCCCAATATTAGCTTACCAAGGTTTGAGAAGTTATTTCAAGTGAAGTGTCATGTATGTGGTGTACAAATAAGGGCAGTTCTTTCTCAAGAGAAACGATTCTTAGCTTATTTCAACAAGACGTTTAATGATGGTTGGAAGCGATGGTCAACTTATGATTAAGAGTTTTATGTTATTGTTTAAGCATTAAAGAATTAGGAACACTACCTTATCGATAAGGACTTCATCTTGTATTCTGATCAATAAGCCCTAAATTCCTCAATTGTCAAAAAAGGATTAGTAGTGATATGCATGCTTGTTGGTCTACTTTTCTTCCAAAGTTCCCATTTAGATTAATACATAAGGCATGGGTGCAAAATAAAGTGGTAGATGCATGAAGTAGATATGTGACTTTGTTAATGATTTTAAGGGGTAAGATTGTAGAATTTGATGGGTTAAAAGAATTATGTGTAGATGATCTAGATTTCTCTAAGGTGTGATTACATTTGCAACATCATTGACCCATAGAGGATTTTCACATACATGAAGGTTGTTTGATGTGAGGCAATCGACTTTGTGTTCTAAATACTTCACTTTAAGAAAAGCTAATTTAGGATTTACATGGAGGAGGATTAGCTGCACATTTAGGTCAAGGTAAGACTTTGAATGTAGTGATAAAGCACTATTATTGGCCAAGAATATAGGGGGATGTTGAGCAATTGGTAAGAAGTTTCTATGCATGCCAAACCTCGAAGGGACACTCGTGAAACATTGGGTTGTATATGCCTTTACTCATCCCAAAACATTTGGGAAGATTTAACAATGGACTTCATACTTGGCCTCCCTTGAACTTAAAAAGGTATAGATTTTGTATATTATGTGGTTGATAAATTCTCAAAGATGGCACACTAATTCTCTGCAAGAAAACCACGAATGCTAGTATGAATAAGCTATTTTTTTGAGAAGTAATAAGGCTACATGAAGTTCCCAAGTCATAGTTTTATATTGTGACATTCGATTTCTTAGTCATTTTTAGACTACCTTGTGGAAGCTATTTGATGCTTTGTTTAAATTTAATGGTATTGCTCATCCATGGACAGAGTTGATGAATTAGACCTTAGGAAATATGAAGTATTTGTGGTGATAGACCAAAGCAATGGGATTTTGCTTTGGCTTAGGTAGAATTTGCTAAAAATAGTGCAGTACATAACATTATCGAAATGTCACCTTTCTCTATTGTTTATCAAAGAGCTTTACAACATGCAATTGATCTAGTGCACCTACCAAAAACTTATGGAAAGAGCATTGCAATAGAGAACATGGCTGAGGACATTAAGACAATTCAACAAGAAGTTAAGAAGCAATTAGAAGTAACTAATGCTAAATATAAGAAAGCTGCTGATAAGCACAATAACAAGCACTTTTAAGGAAGGGGATATGGTAATGGTATTCTTGCAAGAGGAAAGGTTTCTAGTGGGAACTTACAATAAGTTGAAGCCAAAGAAGTATGGTCCTTATAAGGTCTTAAATAAGATTAATGATAATGCATATGTGATTGATCTTCCCAAGACAATGGGTATCTCTTGCACTTTTAATGTAGTAGATATATTTCCATACTATGATACAAAGGAGTATATATACCTAAAGATCACAAATAACTTGAGGTCCAGTTTATCACAAGTGGGGGAGACTAATGTGGACACTATTTCTCAAACTTATCTAGCCCAAAGACAAAAGAAGCCAAAGAATAAATAATGAGAAATTTTGGGCTAGATTTTATTTCATAGGCTAGACCTTGTTTTGTTTCTTTAAATTTTATTTTCATTTTTTTGTCAAATTTTTATTCACCAAAGACTCTTGTCAATTTGGCACCAAATTTCTTGCCAACTTAGAGACCAAGTCTTATGCTTGATCACAAGTTTAGAAGGTTATATAAATCATGTAAGGCCGATGGCAAAAACAACTTCCATTCAATAGAAATTTCACTTCTTATAGAAGATTACTCTCTTTATCTTTGGTAGATTCCAAAGTTCTTGGTGGATTTTCAAATGTTAACTTGAGTCTAAATGTTTTGTAGACTTATTATTCTCATTTCACACTGGGTCACTCCTTCATTTGTTTTCCTCATTTTTTACCATTTTCCTATATGTCTCCTCTTGGCCTTTCTGGGCTAATAGCTTTGCAGGCTATGAGAGTTTGGGGAATCAGTGTTAGATTGTCTGATATCCAGTAGCTGTTGTCATGTTTTCAGCTGTGTACCATGCTTCACACCTTAAGGGAAAGAAACAGCCAAACTGGGCAGCAGATTTCCATGTAGCAATGGGGCATGCGATGCCCTAAGGCAAGGCACTACTTTCTTTGATAGCTCGCCAGTTGGGCTGAGTTCTACTCAAAAGCTGCAGTAGTTGCTTTACTGCATATTTAGCCTTTCTTAGTTTGTTTTCATTTCTGATGATACAAAAAAAAAAAAAAAATCAACCTTAGACTGTAGGGACTACGAAGGGCTTCCATACCCAGCTTGGAATTTCTTTGAAGTACTCCATTCTACACTAGTCTATAAGGTTCTAAGGGTGTAAATTTTATGAGGTGTACTTGGCTACATGTCCTTTTTATCATTCCATAATATTGAAAACTCTTCAATGTTGAGTCCTTGTCTTTGATCGATTAGGTGATTATTGGGTTCAGTATGATTTGGATCAATTTGTCCGCTTTGATGCATCTCTGAGTCTTTGTTTAGTCAATTGACTTTGATTTTTCAAATTTTTTTTTTCTTGAAATCTCTTGAACTGTTTGGCTGTGGAGGATCTACACTGGACACTGAAACATAATGAAATGCTTGCATTGCATTTAAGAAATTGGACCATCCCAGGTTCTTGTCAATATAATTCCATCTTGTCCTAGACTCAGATAAGATAGCTTGCCATGCTTCCCATGAGAAAAGACCACACAAAAAAGTGATTCCTTTTGATTTCGAGTCTTTATATCACAACGCTAAAAAAAAAGGGGAGCAGCATTACAAAGTATACATACTCATTTTTCTTTATTTTTTAAAGGAAGAACATCGGTGTGCCGTGTCCTCGCATCCTTGATATCTAATTTGCTCAAAAATTCATTTGATCCCTTAATTATGTTTCTTTCTCTTCAACATTTTTTCCCACATTGTTCTCTTTGGAACCTTCTTCACCTCCCCATTTCTTAATCCTGTCCTCAGCAATAGAAGCCTGCATTTTGTCATATCAAATTATCAAGTATTGAGTTGATATTCATATCTTTTTCATGACTCATAAGTAGAAAATTATTCCAACTTACCTCACTGTTCCAATTTGTTTTATAAATCATAACAAACAGGACAATAGTCTGCAAGGTTGTTCCTGATAACATACCACACCAAATCCCCTGGAAAGCTCATCAAAAGACAGAATGAAGATGCTAATCAAAACCTAGATTTCAAGGTATTTACATATAAAGTACAGGAGGGAAATGCAGTTACCTTGACACCAAAGTCAAGCTTGTAACCTAATATGAGACCAAGAGGAACTCCAAAGATATAGTAACACCCAATATTCACATATGCAACAACAGCTTGCCATCCTGCTCCCACCGCAACTCCTGCAAGATTAAAAATAAAGCAATCGATTAGAAGTCGATATTCGAGTTGTTTCTCTTTTTATCAACCAGGGGCAAAGGTAATCCCTGGTTACCTGAGAGTACAGGTTGAACGAAGTTGATGACAATGCATAGAACCAGTAATGGAGTGAGTTCCCTGACAAGTTCTTGAACATCTGTGTGGTTTGAGAACAAGTAGGGATACTCTTTTTGGAAGATTAAGAAAACAATTGAGATGGCGAGACCAATCATGAATGAGGAGATTACAGCCACCGCCAATGAAAGTTTTGCTGCCCTCGGATGCCCTGCTCCCAATTCATTCGACACTCTCACACTGCACATTTTTTCGAACTAAAATCAGATTTGGAAATGTATGGTTTACCTTCCATTTCCCAATTGTTTGTTTCTTCTTACAACATACCTTATTGCTGCATTCATTCCCAGCGCTACCATTATTGTCCACCCCAATATGTTCATACTATAAAATTCAACATCATGGAAAAATAAGATAAACATTTTTTTTTTCGTAGCATGTATATATCACTCACAATAAAAAATACTGATATCACATGCGTGGATTAAGAACTAAATAAAATACATTATCAGTAGAGTTTCACATCATGCTGAGATAACTGAAATGAAAAATCAATCTCTTATTTTTCGGATGATTAAGACTAACAAATTAAGTGATTTAATTAGTAATTAGTAAAAGGGTTAGGTGTTGGGATGACCTACGTTGCTGAGATGTGCCAAATACAAGATTGGTAATATACTAATATACATTTGCGGGGTCAATGACAAATGCATGTGCTCATCATCTAATTAATGATGTGGGTGGTTAATTGTCCTTTCTCCTTCAATGCAGACACCTAATGAGGGGACTAAAAAAATCTAAACTCAGACATGAAGTAAACGCCCGCTATTCTCATACTTTTTTTTTTTCCACCAACTGCGGATATTTTAACAAAAAATAGCTCACCAAATGGACAGGGCATCCACTGAAACTTCTGCGTTCTTTAGATATCCAGCGAAGAGAATCAGTGCCATAAAATACCACACTTCTAAGCTGCACCAATTAAAGCACCAAATTAATATAATTATTAATGTTTTCGAATGTCGAATGCGGATCCGACCATGTTTTAAAATTATCCCGTTTAAACTGAATTAAAATTTAAATTAAACTGAATTATAAATCACTAATTATTAAATTAGAAAAACCCATTAGGAAGGGCTACTAATCCATCTAAAACTTTTCTACCCCTAAAATCTCGTGTTAAAAAAAAGGAGAAATTAAGAAAGTCTAACCAACACTATAAATTTAGAAGATAGTGTAAAGCAGGCTATTCTCTCAAAAAAAAAAAAATTAAAAGATATGCTTAATTAAAAACTTTTTTTTAAAATAATATTTTTAAAAATTGATGTAAATTACACATATTAATTTTTATATTAATTTAATACTTTGATTCATTAATAAAAAAAATAACATATATTTAATTTTGTTAAATCTCTTCTAATCAATAAAGTAATTAGACTTAATAGAACAATTTTAAATTTAACATACATGATATATATGAATAAAATTTTTAATTTAATATATATAAATAGAATTTTTAATATAATAATTATTTTTAACCAATATTAATTAACTAGATGAGTTTTTAAATACGATTTCAAAATAAATTTAGGAGAATAATTTACAAAAACATTTTTACTTTATTAGTAACAATCTGATTCAAACCATTAAACAAAAAATCGTCAGATTGAGGACGCCCCTGCTTATTTGATTAATTAATGCGCACATCAGTTAGTACTCACCAGAGCATTACAGCCGATGCAAGTGACAACCTCGCAAAGCTCCACAAGTTCTGGAATGCCTTCCAGGAAAACCCTGTCCATGCCGGTCCACAAGTCCCGCTGATGATATAAAGAAACTGCGCCACGATAATGAACCACCACGACGCATTTAGTACCACGGCAGCGCCCACTAGCCCCCACTCCAGCTTCAACATTAACAACCAGCTAAACAATGTGTGCAGCACTAGCGCCGCAGCCGCTATCACTGCCATCGCCATCATCTTGCTCTGAGCCTGCAGAAACTTGGCCATCGGGTAATTCATTGCGTAGGCGAAGAGCTGCGGAATCATCCATATGGACAAAATTCCAGCAGCTTTGGATATGCTCGCTGTCTGACC